TTTTCGTGATTAATTTCTGTTGAACGTATACATGCAATTTAATTAAGAAACATAAATAATTAACGCGTGCGTTAACTTATGTTTACAACATGTACCCTTTTCAATAAATTGATTGAATATCATCTAAACTATTCCTCAATAGATTTTTAAGAAATAACTGTTACGCGATAAAAAATTAAACATATAAAAAAAAGTGAGTGAAAAAAAAATGCAATTCTTATTTAATTGGTTTAACACATATACTCTTAAAATATTCAGTTTTTATTTTTTCGTGTCAAGTCGATGGGTACGGTGCTTAGGTCAAAGTCAAAGTGGATATTCGCATGAATGTTTAAAATAATTGAGAAATTCTATGGTACCCATCTTATTTGAGAGGGTACCGGTACAATTTTTTATATTTTATATTTTTAATAATTTATTTAAATAATATTTATAATATTTTATTCTTTCAATTTTTAAATCATTTAGTTATTTTATTTTTATTTTATATATTTTAATTTATTTGTAATAATATTATTATACATTTAAATAGTTTAATTTTAATAATTTTAATAATTTTTTAATTATATTTTTATCTTTTCACTTAAATTTTTTGAATTTCTATATTTTAATTTTAATAATTTTTTAAGTATATTTTTTGTCTATTTGTCTTAAATTTTTGAATTTCTATATTATAATTTTAATAATTTTTTATTTTTACTATTTTTTATTTTTTAATGTTTTATAATATTATTGAAATCTTATAATTTTAATTTCTATGATTTTATCTTACTTTTTATTTTATAAGTATAATTTAAATTATTTATTTTATAATTAAATTAATTTTTTTAAAATCTTTTATGAGTTTATAAAAATATATTGAAACCTCTCGATCTTTAAGGGTACCGTAGCAACTCCCAAAATAATTATCCTAGCTATAATATTTGCCAACCATTTATATGTTTTCATTCAGAAAATAATCAATTAAAAATAGTATAGACCATTGTATAATAATTACATACTACTACTTAATTAGAAAATAATATATACCATATAAAAACTAATAAGACTAAAAAATAAATACGCAACACAATTCTACTTAAGTTTTTGGTCAAGACTGAAGAATCTTAGTTGTTATATTTGAGATGTAGCCGTTGGGTTGTCAAATAAAATAAGACAACGTTTGTTTGATGTCCTAACCTCTTCGTTTGTGGAAATTTTATCTATATTGATAACTTTTATAAACAACGAAAAAATAAATTGTAATTAATGAGTTTAATTTCTATTCAATGAAAAATTATATATAAAAAAAAATTGTCAAAAGTCAATAACATTCTTTATTCACTTGATCTAAGCTCCGAATGTCATAGATAAGTAGTATAAAAATATTATATTTGATCAAGTATTTGAGAAGAATATCTTACACATCATTAAGAATTGTAATGAAGATGTTTATCTATTATTAAAAAAAGATGAGTAAATAGATAAAACAGTGGAAGTTTCACGTGGTTAATTGGTGGGAGTTGGTATTTGTTAATGTTCCACAGCAAATGGTGGGTTGTTGTACGAAGTTCGTGTGGGCTGTTGGTACATTTTTCTTATTCATTTCATATGTTAATTTAAATTTCAATATCGACTGCGGACACGAAAATATAAAATCTACTAAATAGATAAATAAATAAATAAAAACTAAATAGCAGTTATTAGTAATTAATTAGATGGCAACTAGTTTCAATTTTTTTGTGGACCGACACTGTAGCAATATGGAGCACAATATTTGGTTTGTAATTGTAGGTCAACGGTGGTGTATGAGTTGACCGATCTCGAGAAAGAATCGCGGTTTGGTGATTGCGAAAAGCATTTGACTTAACAATAGGAATGCTTTCCATGTTTTCATTAAAAATAAATAAAAACTCCTATGTTAACCTTTAGAGATGTTATGATAAAATTATTTGATGTAGAAATATAATTATACAAA